AAATGGCTTTTGCAATTATAGATTCAAGCAATTTTCCCATAAAAGATGTCAAACTCGTTGACTGTGTTCGACCTTTCCCAAGACAAGGGTTGACAAAGCTCAGCTTAACATCTTTGTCGACATTGTCAAGTACTTTCATTAGCTTCTGAGGCGGGTTGGCTTTAATTATATATTGTTACTTGATTCAGTAACTACGTTACTTGATCTGCCCCAATTAAGGATTAATCTCTGCTTTCACTGTTACATAAACTTTCCTATTCTTAATTTGTATATACACAGTTTTCTTTTTTCAGTACTGTTATTTACTGCAATGGCTATCCATTTTCGGTTGTTCTTGTGCAACCTAATTTATATTCTTCAATAAATTATATGGCATTGACCTTGCAATACCTATCCATCAGCAGTTGATACCCTTTACCCTGCATATTTACTATAGCCAATTCTACGTTGCAGGCAGAATGCCATACGACTGGGATTCCGACTATATTCTTAATTATTTACTGAAAACTTCAAAAACTGGCCAGCAAAGCCTCGCTCCAACATATTAACCACCCTGGCCCCCTTCCACCGAGGAAGGTAACACCGTGAACACTATAGATAGTGTCCATGTTGCCGGCGTGACGTCAGCCATGCCAGCCCCAGCAAGGCAGGACAAGAACAGTCTACAACTCCCACCCTTCTTACACAATACTAGGTCAATGGAAGCCACCAAGGACAGACTGCTGGTACTTTGCTCACTATACTTATGAATTCGCCATGAAATTCGAGTTTTGTGGTGATAATAATTTAATGTTGTAGTGATGGTGGTTGTGAGTGTGTTCCCGAGAGAGAGAATTACTAAGGGAAAGTGCCATTACGATTATATAGCATCAGTTTTCCTGAGGTGACTGGCGTAATGCATCTCAATACGCCCAGGCCGGGGTCGCCCACCTTGCACACAACCTACCTGCAACAGTGCTCTGGGCATCCACAGGGAGCTGTGATCGCGTAAGGAAACATTGCCATAGGAAGGCCATCGTGTGCGTATTACCTAACTTGGACAGGTTGTAGCATGAAGCGAGGGTAGGAACACAGGGACGGTCGTCATCTTGCGAGCGACACACTGGTCAATTCTGCTTCAGGCAATGGCATGAGATTTATATTGAGTATTGTGCATGATGATGTTTGATTGTTGCATTGACAAGAACTTAGTGTATAGGTTATTTGCGTGTCCATATGATGAACTGCGCATCTTCATGAGCGCATCTCTCATTTTGACTACCGAAGTGATTTAAGAAAGTCAGATTTGACCATTGGCTGTCTTAACCAACCCGCCCTCCTAATAGAGCCTCCATAAAATCCAAATGTGTATGAATATACCCTGGCTTCCTGTCCCCCAACACAATGAATTATAATTATTACCGGGTGTTTCTGTGAAACCAAACGTCTAGGAGATTGCCACTCACATTCTTGTCTTAACACCATATAAGCCATTAGCACACTAATGGCACAAATTGTGATGCGGACCCTAGAGTCCTCATACTTAATTGTAATTAAGGATTCTCACGACTAAAGTGAATCTCTACCCGGTGAACGCCTGCGCGAGCTGGACTAACCATAAGTGCTGTCCAGCTGGGGCATCCAGGCCTTGTACCACTGCTCTTGGTGGTCACTTGGTGGTCACTGGATCTCGACGGCTTCAGCTTGCGAAATTGACAATGTCCCATTTTCTGTTGTGGGTCCTCTGACACGTTAGGAGAGGGTACTTTAATACGACAATTTCTTGACGTTGGGAAACTTTAGGACGGGCTAGTGTGTTAGGGGGTCTTCTGTGAAAACATAACGAACATACCATTGTTTTTGCTTTTTCGTTTTCTTGAAATGTTAATATTTTCGCAAGGAATATCTTTACTTAAATGAATACTCTGTGCTGGTATAATGTTGCGTAGGCCACCACCCCATGGCGTCGGAGGGACTCTTAGTCTGCAACACAACAGATCTGTGTCAACATAAACTGCTCCATAGGTGCAAACATCTTACACCAGGAGCAAGATGATGCTTACACAGACCCAGATCTGTTGTGTCTGCAACACATCAGATCTGGGTCTGTGCTTCCATACAACACCAACACCAAACCATTTCCTTAGACTATAATTATCTAGGTAAATTTAAGTTAAAAAATAAACCTTTCCGAGAGTATCAAAATCTTAGAACAACCACAGATTTACTGCTAGTGCCTTAACTGTCCCTCCTCTAACGTCCTCTCTTTACCATTGTCTGGGGCACTGCTTTTTGTGGTCTTTGATTTTAGTTTATACAAATGGGTACTGTCGAAGACGACCTCTGAGTCTCGTTACAGTCAATAGATGTACAGCATTTCCTTCCCAAGACTTACCTACAGTCTTAACCAACTTGTTTTCTCTGGAACAAGACCCATTAATGTGTTTACAACCAGGTCTCAAATTAGCACCGGGTGAGCAGGGAGGAACGGGTAAGGATTGGTGTCCGCCGACCCCTCCCTGCCCAGGGCTCGAACCCTCGCCACACTTGCCCAACCCAACACAAAATTATTAACACTTATCCTTCCTTAACTTTATCAAATTTGCATGTTTTCCTGAATAGACTATTCATTGTCTGGCAGCATAATCACCCCGTACATGTGCATATATATAAATGCCTCCACTTGATTCACGGTTCTTTCACCCAAGTTATTTTAATTACATTGTTGTCTTCACTATTTCACCGTATTGATTCACCGTAGTTACTACTGCTTTTACCCCTCATAATTTGATCTTAAGGTAGATGGCAGTTACTTTATTGTTTCATCGTTAGTTACTGCGTTATTCTTGTCCAGTTATCTTGTTTCATTATTGCCATCACTCTCTCCAGCTTCCTAATGTTACTGTTATCACCATTCCGTTATTGCCACATATGTGCAATCACCTTCTGCCTTATAACGGCAATATGTTGATACCTTAATACACGCATCGGTTAATTCACAGTATCCCAGGCTCTACAGTTGGCTACAAGCATGACTGCAGTAAACTATGCTTACACTTGAGTACCTCCTTGTGGAGCATGGCGGTAGGTGCCTGGCCTGTGGGCGGTCACTTTCGCTTTGTTTACTGTTATATTGGTGCTAGTGTCTCTGCCTGTCACTATAGGCGCGAGTGCTTCCCCCGGTTACTCTCACCGTCTGGCAAAAAACTCCTTACTCGAGTGGTTTCTTGGTTTTAGAGAAGATACGTTTGTATTTCTCCATAACTGCATTTCTAAGCATGCTCGTGTTCACATCAGCAGGAGATAACTATAGGTGTGTGTGTGTGTGTGTGTGTGTGTGTGTGTGTGTGTGTGTGTGTGTGTGTGTGTGTGTGTGTGTGTGTGTGTGTGTGTGTGTGTGTGTGTGTGTGTGAGAGAGAGAGTCGGGGAGAGAGCTGTTCAACAAAACATAGGATGAAAGACATAATTCCCCAATAAGGGGGGCCCAAGAAGTCCATGAAGGCCTACAGCAGGCACCGGCGAGAGAAGTGTCTCACGCCAATGTTAAGACATAGGTTAAGGGTAAAAGGGCGAGGCTATATATATATATTTTACCAATGCTCTTGTTATTCCTGTGCTTGACTTAAGTTGTTGTTCATGGTAGCCGTCTTGTGCCCTCCCCCAGCTGCTGCCAGGAGCCTCACCACCCGACTTCCTCCTGCAGAGTTCGGGTACGAAGTGACGTATGGGGGCGGTGGGGGCGTGTACGGCGGGACCGGGGCGGGCGCGGGGCTGGTATGGGAGAGCGCGGCCCCCGGGGCCGCCCTTGGCCACTATCCGCCCCACGACGCTGCCTTCGCTGCCGCTGCCGCCGCTGCCCTGCCGCTCCACGACCTCTGGCAGACCCACACCTTCAGGGGCCAGTGTGTCATGTCTCACAGGTAATATTTACTCGCAATCTGCCATGCCTCCTGCATCATGACCTTCCCATCATTATCATTACCGGAAATGTTTAGAATCAGTGCTTCCCAACCGCTGGGTCGCCAAACCTAAATTCTGAGTACCAGTAGATCTCAATCATCGATAATTAGCAAGTAGTGAGTGACCTGATGAGACAATTTTTTTCCAAATTACAAAACTGTGGCAAGGGGTCGCTGTTCTTTTAAGTATTAGAATATAAGGCCGCGAGTCCACAAAGGTTGGGAAGCAGTGGTCTACATGCAGGCGATGAGTCACAATAACGTGGCTAAAGTATGTTGACCAGACCACACACTAGAAGGTGAAGGGACGACGACGTTTCGGTCCGTCCTGGACCATTCTCAAGTCGATAGTCGATCGACTTGAGAATGGTCCAGGACGGACCGAAACGTCGTCGTAGTTTCACCTTCTAGTGTGTGGTCTGATCAACCGTGGTCTACATGATCACATTCCTTCGTGGAGGACCACCAGCTCAGATGCACCTCACACACTTCTCTTGTGATCTCATGTTTGGGAAACAACTCGTGATTTAACTTTAGGTCATATTTGGGACTCGTTGAAAGTAGATCCTCCTCGCATCACTTAAAAGCCGTAAAATGGTTCTTGTGTTACTCATATTTGTACTGCTTGCATCATAATACGATGTACGAACTAGGATATACCATTGGCATCGACTTAGAAATATCTCCGGAAAGCCTCGTTATAAATGTTGACCATTACGTACCTTGCTAATATCGTCAGCGAGGCATCGGCATAACTCAAGTCTCAGGACACTGCTTTAATGTTAACTCTGCCACACCTCTCTCTGTGTGTGTGTGTGTGTGTGTGTGTGTGTGTGTGTGTGTGTGTGTGTGTGTGTGTGTGTGTGTGTGTGTGTGTGTGTGTGTGTGTGTGTGTGTGTACGTACACCTCCTGGGGGAAGGTGCCTGGAGACGTACCTCCGAGGAGGCAGGCACCTGGAGGCGTCGCGGCCACCTTCCCCGCTCCACGAAGCCCAACACAAGCAAGCTACCCTCCATAAACCATCTCTCACCACCTGCCAATAAGTTGAGCACGCTACCTACTTGATCCTGCAGGCGTTATACTCGACGGTGTCCTCTTCGTCGTCATCGCTGGAAAAGCAGGCGGTGTTGTCGCGGGGCGTGTGGGGCGTGTCCCTGAAGGTGGACATGGCCGCGCCCTGGCCGGACATCCTCACCACTTCCCACCACCGTCTATGCACGTCTGTTGATATAGTCCCAAGAACTTATAATGTCTTTTTAAATACACTGTTTTTTGGGGCGTGGTCGTTTCGTATGCATTGTTACTGTGATCGTCCACATTGCTTGTCTTATACACAATTATAATGGTTAGCTTGTTAAGTCTCTCGTCGTTAGCAATGTAAACAAGGCTCTTAAGTATGTATTCGAAGCCCCTCAACTCGCATTACTAAGAAAACACATTCAGATTGTTTATTAAATATAACCATATATAAATAATATAATTTAGTGTTGGAGGAAAAGATGGTAATAATTATATATGTTCGCCCCTATAACGTCAGCCGGTTATAGTGATCCAGCGACACTAATAAGCGGGAGAGGAATTACTAGTTACACTTCCTGGGGCACGGTGAGGTTAGAATTGTACGCAGCTATCACGACACTAGCGTGTCAGCCGACATATGGGTGTCAGCCGACATATGGGTGTCAGCTGACATATGGGTGTCAGCCGACATATGGGTGTCAGCCGACATATGGGTGTCAGCCGACATATGGGTGTCAGCCGACATATGGGTGTCAGCCGACATATGGGTGTCAGCCGACATATTGGTGTCAGCCGACATATGGGTGTCAGCCAACATATGGGTGTCAGTCAACACATGGGTGTCAGCCAACATAAGGGTGTCAGCCGGCACTGGTCAACTGATGGAAACACATAATATGGTCGCATGTTAATGGTGTCAAATTTTACCATTATGAACACTGAAGGGCCCGTTCAGGGTAGTGCTGTAATTTGTCCATAACAATTAAGAGCAATACCACTATATCTGAACGGTACAGCGCCACATGGGCCTGTATCTGGATAGTACAGCACCACATGGGCCTGTATCCAAATAGCGTAAGTTAACAAAATCTCTACTAATTCTCTAATTACGTCTATTCCAGTGCTGTGCAGTCTGATATGGTTCACGTATTCAGTGCTATAAACTACTTTACGATATTACAGAAAGTCTGTAACGAGTGTTTGTATTAACCTTTAAACCTGGTATTATATTTAAACAACTCGCGTCTTCTGATACAGTATTATCACTAACATTTCCGGCTCATTTACCTGCTTAAATATTTGTATTTAGTAATTTATTGTGTCAAATAATTTGCATTTCTAAGTTAGTAGTATAATCCTCATGAGCGAAGAACGGTGAATTTACGACCTTATGTATCTCGTATAACAACAATTTTCCTTTAAATATTTTGTGTGTCCATGAGGATTCTTACCAAGGTCTATAAAATATAAAAATATTTGAAAAACTTTGTTACTATAGATTTTTGGGCCATGACGGCACACGTAATATGGTCGTGGTAAGACGTGGTCCTCCAGCGTGCCCGTGTAGGGTAACGCAGCCTTGCGACTGTGTATATATGTCGCCGCTCGCCGGAAATACTGAACCTTGCGGCCAAGAAACACTGTTAGTGATCCCACTAGTGACGCCCGGGAATGAGAGCACCAGGCCCACATTCTACAGAGGAAACCGTCAGGAAGACTAGACACGCAGTAATCGCAGACGATAAGGTGTCAGACGTCCTGTGAACTCTGAGATGTCGAAGCGTCACGGCCACTACGCCATGGCGCCTCTGAACTCTAGCCTAATCGGGCAAAGATGTGGCTCTTGCTTCGTCGGAGCAAGAGCCAAACGCCCACCTCGCCCCGAGGGCACATCAGCCTTCAAAGGCCCGCCAACTCCTGGCACCTCTCGGTCAAGCCGGTGACGGACATTGTCTCTGCCTCACGCTTCAAGTTCTAACCGGAAGACGGAAAAATCTATCAACGTCCCAGTGAACCCAGGCGATAAGTGCGCGAGACGCCGTATCAATCTGGACCGCTGAAGAGGCATGCCTGACGGCAGAATAATGACCCAACGGTCATAATCACATCACATGTTCCGGTGGCCTCTGACAGAGCAGGTGTCCAGTCACTCGCTCAAGGCTGAACCAAGAGACTAATCCACACTCTTGAAAAACATATGAAGCCGTAAACAAGACGCCCAGGGACCGCTAGTCTAAGGAAACTGATATATTGCCACATCTTAATAGTGGTGCAGTCCTCTGTTACGGAGTATATATACACTGTCTTAATAATGGTTTACAATGGTTATTATTTTATAGTGAATTTGAAGACAAAATCGAAACATTATTCAGTAATGGCATTATCATTTATACATAATAAAAACGCACAAACAGTTAACCGAACAAGTATTCTCTTCCATGCAAAGCATAAAACTTTAACGTTATTTGTTTAAATTTTGAGAAACAAAGTTCATACTCTATAATGAAAATTAGGGAGCGTTTTCACCCGTGACCACCGCCAAAACGGCCATGACCACCACACCAACGGTACTGTCACACAGCCACAACGGTACTGACCACCGCCACAACGGCCATGACCACCACACCAACGGTACTGTCACACAGCCACAACGGTACTGACCACCGCCACAACGGCCATGACCACCACACCAACGGTACTGTCACACAGCCACAACGGTACTGACCACCGCCACAACGGCCATGACCACCACACCAACGGTACTGTCACACAGCCACAACGGTACTGACCAATACGACAGCGCGAGGTGGCGGTGTGGCGGCTCCTCACAACGATAACAGAGATAGCCACATCCTCAACCACCAGTGTTGACACACACACCACGTGATCCACAGTGCATGTGCTGCACCACACCATAATGCGTACAACACTTACCTATAATATACCTTTACGGGCTCACCATAGCCCGTCCTACATGGACACTTCGTTCTGAGTAGCTAAATCTGAAACAACAACATGCTGCTTGCTACAGGCCTACATAACCATTAGTTATCCGGTAGATTTACCTCAAGCGTTGTATTGAAAAAATTAGATAATGGGAGACCATTATCTAAAAGTACTTCTAGAGCCTCCTTCAGCAGCCATGGTGAGGTTAAGTAGACTATGAGTCATGATAATGTGACTGAAGATATGATGACCAAACCACACGTCACAAAATGAAGATAAGAACATAAGAACAAAGGTAACTGCAGAAGGCCTATTGGTCTATACGAGGCAGCTCCTATTTATAACCACCCAATCCCACTCATATACATGTCCAGCCCACGCTTGAAACAATCGAGGGACCCCACCTCCACCACGTTACGCGGCAATTGGTTCCACAAATCAACAACCCTGTTACTGAACCAGTATTTACCAAAGTCTTTCCTAAATCTAAGATAAGACGTTTCAGTCTATTCAAGTCTTGATAATGGACCAGGATGGACCGAAACAGTGTAATTTCTCCATTTCTGATGTGTAGTTTGGTTATCATGGCGAGATTAAGTCTGGTGCCTTGGATTTTGTCACATGTAGTTCCACAAGGTGTTCTTTATCTCCAGGCCTTTCTTGACCTTTCTTTAACTTCCCGGTATTACCTTTTGAACCTAGGGCACTTGGATTTATTAATCGCAGCGTTAGTAACAAGACACCTGGTGTGGTTCTCAAGCTATATCTTGCTCTAGTTAGGCCCCATTTAGATTATGCAGTTCAGTTTTGGTCGCCATATTATAGAATGGATATAAATTCACTTGAACGTGTCCAGCGTAGGATGACTAAGTTAATTCCCCAAATTAGAAATCTTTCATATGAAGAAAGATTAACAAAGCTTAAGTTGCATTCACTGGAAAGGCGAAGAGTTAGGGGTGACATGATAGAGGTTTACAAGTGGATGAATGGACATAACCGGGGGGATATTAATAGGGTATTAAAAGTATCAACACAGGACAGAACACGAAACAATGGATATAAATTGGATAAGTTTAGATTTAGGAAAGACTTGGGTAAATACTGGTTCAGTAACAGGGTTGTTGATTTGTGGAACCAATTGCCGCGTAACATTGTGGAGGTGGGGTCCCTCGATTGTTTCAAGCGTGGGCTGGACATGTATATGAGTGGGATTGGGTGGTTATAGAATAGGAGCTGCCTCGTATGGGCCAATAGGCCTTCTGCAGTTACCTTTGTTCTTATGTTCTTATGTTCTTAGGGCTTATTGTACTTTTCTTGTCCTCCTCCTCGAGTGGCAAACTGCTGTTGCATTGGCACATCTGCCAACTATTTTCCCTTCCATTGGGTGTCATGAAGAAAGTTCTTCATCGTACTGTAGTCCCCAGGTCTGTAATATCTCGTCTTCTTCAATAGGTTTCTTTGTGTAACCAACTCCTTCAGCTCCACTATATACTCAAGCATGAGAGCTCCTAGAGGCATGTCACCCTTTTTTCTCAACATCAGCTTCATTGTGGGAGAACACCACAATAGTGTTTGGTGGGTCCTCTCCTCTTACTCTTGTTGGTTCTGTAATACGCTGCTTTAAGAAGTGTTTGCCTGCCATGTCTACCAGTTTTCCTCTCTGTCTCAAGCCAACCACTTGGGCTGGACGGTAGAGAGACGGTCTCGCTTCCTGCAGGTCGGCGTCCCCTTCTCAGTACTATATAGTCTAACGGCTTGGCACTTTCCCCTGATAGTTTCCTCCATTCCTTCCTTCTCTCTGTCTCATCACATCCGAAGTGGTCTATTTATTTAATTATTTCCCCCCTATGGTTACTCTACCCTAGTATTGGAATTTTAGCTCTTGTTTTCCCTTGCCATTGTGGCTGCTTTTCCGTTACATTTAAATAAATACAGTGGCCCTTTTATTGTTTGGTAGGGGATTGTAAATCACCGATACCACTATCTCCATGTCTCCCACTGTTGATATTCCCAGTATGTGCTCTCGCTGGTCGGATTCCTCTGATACTTGTTTGAACATTGTAGGGGATTTGCGTTCTGAGTGTGATTTATTAGCAGGGTTAGATAAATGTTGATATTTTAGAACTGGGTGATCAGGTGGCATCGACATCTCTGGTAACATTAAAGAGAATGCAGTAACATGTTTTTGGACTTGGGAACTATATGTTTATATATATATATATGTTTATTAAGATTTAAAGTAGTAATGGTGTATATTTGGCGTTAGCGCTGCAGGGGCGGCATAGTAATGGGTAACCGTGGAGTACTGGAGTATAAGGGTTGAATGCTGAAAACTTGAATGATGCGGAAGAGTTAATTTTTTAACATAAATTACACCATGGTCCATTGGCTGGATTTGAGAGACGGTGTCATGTTACCATCAAGTGACCGCAACCTGCTTCCATTGGTGTACAGAGGAGCGCTCGCCCACCACCAAAAATAACCTCAATCACTCTTTACTAAATCATCTATTTACCAAAATATTAAACCAGTTATAAGTCATAAATAATCAAACTGTTTTAATAAGCATATTTGTGTAGCATTACCGGCAATTAGCATATACAGTCTGCGTGAGCCGTTTATATGGGCACACACCACAGCCAAAACTCACGGAGAGACATCTCCCGTCACGCAGGGTGCAGTCGCACCTCCACAGATCTCCAGTATCAGCTCTTGATACTGGTAATGGCTCAAAAGGACCACCACTTACGGGCTATTCATGCCCGTGCTACTTGGAACTATTTGTTCAGAGTAGCGAATCTTAAACAACAACAACCGTGCCACCTTTTGGGTGGCTTAATCTTCATCAATTAATCAATCAGCCAAAACTCATTCTGTACTAGCCTTCCAGACTGTCACATTTGTCTCTGGTCAACTACCCACTGTCTTGGTCAGGCGGTTCTCAACGTACAACCGAGTCTAATGACCGGCCAGCTGCCCAGACTAAACATCTTCATATTTTTCTAGATATTTGAAGTAGTCTGAATGTATATTACGGTTCCAATAATAGTCTACTTGTAAACTTGCAAGTGAACCTTCGAACTAAATAAAGAATTCTCGTTGTAATTTTATAGTATTATAAATCTTTAGTTTAAAATATAAAAATTATGTGCTTGATTAGTTTTCTTTGAAATAGTCTGAATAATTTGCTTTTCTGTAAATACAAATTCTAGGAGATACTAAAACAGTTTCGAGATTTCATATTTCACGTTTGTGACTATTACTAAGTATTAAAATAACCAAATTTAACTAGCCCTAACCAAACCATGAATAGGAAGTAGATAATAGCACTAATTATGTATTGGTTTTGAAGTGATTACCTCCAGGGGTACCTCATCCCTGAGGTCAGGTTGCTTTGGCCGGCATTTCTCTCCAGTAAGTTTCATCAACGTTATAAATATGAAAGCAAAATAATTATGGTCACCTACAACTCCCCCCGGCTATTTCAAAGATCCACATTCTATATTAGCACAATTTTTGGTCCACCAGATATCATCTTCCTACCATTTGCATGTCATTTTATTGTTTATTATAAGGGCAACCAATACTTGCCACATATTTACGATTAAATCTCTGCTTTAATCTTAAATATATACATTCCTGATTTGCTCTGCCCCAACACCCACCAACACCCACTCCATCTTATATAACCCACTTGTAACCTGCCTCATCTAAGTTGTAATATTTTGAGGTCCTGAAAAAAAATTTCTTTGTATTTTTGCCATCGGAACTTTTTTTTTTGCAATTAACTCCATAATCTTACCGCCCTGTTGTTTAATATGGGAAACTGTCCATGTCAAACACTGTCTGCTAGCTTCCTCACTTCCCAGCCACCATCATACGTCATAAACACGTGTGGGGGGTGTAGCCACCTAATGGGGTTAAGTTTAGGCTCTCAACTGCCAATCAACTGGTGTACAGGTTCCCGAGTTTGGTGGGCTCTTATCATATCTATATTTGAAACTGTGTATGGAATCTGCCTCCACCACCTCACTGCTTATTATATTCCATTTATATTCTGATACTGAAAAGTTCTTTCTAGTGACTCAACTGGGTGTCCAGTTTCAACCTGTGCTTCCTTGTGCGAGTATAACCCGTGTTATAATAATATATCTACCCTGTCAATTCATTCATGAGAATTTTGTATGTGGTGATCTTGTCTCCCTAAACCCTTGTGTCTTCCAACGAAGTGAGCTTGCAATTCACGCAGCCTTTCCTTGTAACTCATTCCTCTTAGTTCTGGAACTAGTCTAGTGGCATACCTTTGAACCTATTACACTTCATCCTATGCTTAACAAAGTATGGGCTCCAAACAGTGTACACTTAGTGTATACCAAAAAGTGTACACTTAGTCTGGATCATACCCTTTGGTCAGAAGGCCTTCATGTGACATTTAACTGCCCTACACTCTTTGGTCAGAAAAAAAGCTGTGTAACTTTAAACAAGTTAAATTATAAGTGCATCAGACCACATTAGCTGTAATATGCCAGCTACTTATAACTATCCCCAAACTAATCCACATTCCAAGAAATTTATTTTAACTACCTAACGGTTCCCAATAATGCCCATAATCGCTAATGACACTTTCACTTGCCATTAGTGGCATCTGTATTTAAATTAATACATGATGACCAGACCACACACTAGAATGTGAAGGGACGACGACGTTTCGGTCTGTCCTGGACCATTCTCAAGTCATCATCATCATACTTTAGCCACGTTACTGTGACTCATCGCCTGCGTAAATTAATCCATGTTCCCCAACGTTACGGGCTCACCATAGCCCGTGCTACTTGGAACTTGATGTTCCCAGTAGCAGAATCTTAAACATCATCATCCCCAACGTTTTCACAAATGAGTTAAGATAGCCACAAGTAACTAGCGAGTTTCCTAACCGGCCAAATGATGATCAACTTGCCAAGTTACGGGCTGTTCATGCCCGTGCCACCTCTTGGATGGCATAATCTTTATCAATCAATCAACTAGCCAAGAGAACAGCAAGCTGTGTCTAACACAAGGTCAGGTGGACAAATTGAAAACAGTCCATTCAACTGGGCTGTATGGGTCTCGAACCGTGGACTCCACGGGTGTGAAGCCAACGCACTATCGACTGCAGCCCGTCCTCCAAACAAAGATCCAAAAGTGATTCCATGCACCCGCCAAACCCCCTGTTTATGAATGAAAAGCGATTTACACACGACTCACAACTGCTGACGTTCGAACATATCCGGAACAAGTGTTTCACTGATGAATTTTGTTCGAATCACAACGCTATAAATGCTTCACCCACGTACTACAAATACAAATAATTGCCAACAGAACCTAAACACCTAACCTAACCTATGCCTATATATGCACAATATGCTAATATATTATAATATTAATTTATACTTGAGAAAATTCCCGTTTTGAATGAACAGCATATTAAAATTTATGAATGCGTCTGTGGGGTTGACCGCTGGATGTAATGGACTTGAGTCGAGGACGGGTTGATCGACTGGGCTGTGTTCTCTAACACAGTCGAGAACACAGCATTGTCAACTTAGCTTCCACGGGAGACGTCTCCCGTCACGCAGGGTGCAGTTGCACCTCCACAGATCTCCAGTATCAGCTCTTGATACTGGTAATGGCTCAAAAGGGCCACCACTTACGGGATATTCATGCCCGTGCCACCTTTTGGGTGGCTTAATCTTCATCAATCAATCAATCAAGCTTCAACTCTCACAGCAACACTACAAGCCTCCCTACAGAACAGAGCTACTCCCGGCAGCATTCGAGCTCTCTATACCCGACCTCGCTCAAGCTCTCGGCTCCGGCCACCTATAGGTACTTATGTCCTGCCTGACTCCACCAGCATTCTCGTCTCAACCTGTCATGACCCGTCATACCATTTCTAACCGACTGCTGTAAGCAAGACTATCAAATAAACACCAAATACTTTACCACCATGCGCTTTGAATATTCTCATCTAGAATCTTATCTGATACACACAGATAAATTAGGTTTAGTTATGACTAAGATTATAAGTAAATTTACAAAATGAGTTACGAAAGGTAAACCAAATATAAGGTATACTACAGACCAGACTCTGTAGTGAAAACATTCATAGTGTATATGCATTCTCCGATGAAAACTTCTTCATTGTTTTCTTAAAAACTTCATGCAGTTGTCTGAAATAGTATATACCGTTGCCGATTTCATCTACATTACTGAGACATTTATTTATTTATATACAAGAAGGTACATTGGGTTTGTGAGAATACATAGCATAGTATTTACAATCTTGTAAAGCCACTAGTACGCGCAGCGTTTCGGGCAGAAACATTTGATAGGTTACACTTTAACGAACACTGGCAACATCTATTAAGAGTTTGAATCAGCTTATATACCTCGTGCATCACAATTCATTTTATCCATCACCCTTGAGAGCTAAGGACTGGCTGTGGTCTCCCACGGGAGACATCTCCCGTCACGCAGAGTGCAGTCGCACCTCCACAGATCTCCAGTATCAGCTCTTGATACTGGTAATGGTTCGAAAGGGCCACCACTTACGGGCTATTCATTCCCGTGCCACCTTTTGGGTGGCTTAATCTTCATCAATCAATCTGTGGTGTCCCGCAGGTACGGTGGCGGCGGTGTAGGCGGTGGTGGTAAAAAGGTGCGCCGCAGAGTACCTACCATGGCCCAGCGGCGCGCAGCCAACGTCAGGGAGCGACGCCGCATGTTCAACCTCAACGAAGCCTTCGACAAACTTAGACGCAAGGTAACCTTCACTAATTTCTTGTAATAAAGTTTCTGTATACAATTTCAGAAATAAAAATCAAATTTAGAAGACTGTTAAGAGAGAACAGTGTTTACAATTACGTACTAGGAAATGTATATGTTTATCTCCCAGAATGTTTGGTAATATGTTTATTGTTTGTGATGTGTGTATATGTATGTATTAACACGATGTACTTAAAGGGATGAGAATAGCTTGAGCTACCTCATCCCTTTGTGTGTATTTTACCTCAATAAACTTATTTCAATTTCAATTACCTACTGTACTATATGTACGATCATGCTTCCAATAAATTTGCTGGGGTGAGGAGGTAATTTTAAAGTTGTATTGTACTCTATGGAAGATGTGCAGCAAAAGGATCTTAGTATCACATGAATCATTAAGGTCAATTAAAATATATTTGGGTTGCCAGTTAAAAATTTCTCGTTACATTAAAAAATCAAATTAATATATACAGTACAGTGCATGCTACTGTATCTATATATTGGCAGCACGTGAGTTCAGTTCTATACTATTACCTCAATCTTTTCAGAGAATATCTTCATATGATATATGACTGTGTGTGTGATCAAATTAGACGAGTTGTTCTGGTACGAATCTGAGTTCATTACATTCTTCATTTATGAAGGAAGGTGAAGGGACGACGACGTTTCGTCCGTCCTGGACCACAATCGACTTGCGAATGGTCCAGGACGGATCGAAACGTCGTCGTCCCTTCACCTTCTAGTGTGTGGTCTGGTCAACATACTTTAGCCACGTTATTGTGACTCATCGCCTGCACAAGGTGAAGAATTTACTCTCCAAAGTTCAATTTACAATTTTATTGACCAATAAAAGTGCAAAATGAACTTTTGAAAAATACAGAAAAAATTCATGTTAGAACTATTGGCTGAACATTTTCTGTCATATTGAATAACACCTGTCTACTCATGTCCAAAATACACACACATGTAGGATCCTCGCCAGCGCTCGGAGGTCACAGTCCTAAGGGCCCGGGCTCGATTCCCTGTCAAGGCAGAAACAAATGGGCAGAGTTTTTTTTTAACCTAATAATAAATACCTAGTAATAAATATGTACCTGATTAGGAAGCTTAGCTGTTGGGTTCACAGATATGAAGTTCCACAGGTCGAACAGAAGAGAGGGGAAAGAAAACTAGATGTAGGGAACCAGCATGAACCACACGAGCCTCACAGATACCAGTGAAGAGAAGCCAAGGGACTACCCACTGCAAGATATCTTTTGACACCAGTACTCAGGAAGAAACCAACCTGAAAAACTCAGGAATTGTCAAACTAACCTGTAACCTCACTAGCTAGGACACTGACCACAGTTAATAGACTAATGTGCATTTGGTCAATTGAAAGCACCACCAGACCTTGGGGGAACAATGTCAACTTAACTGAATCAGGCCTTGCTCATCAAAGTACTAGTCTAACCAGACTGTAGTGGATATTTGGGCATACAGGCCACATCAAGCAACAGCTTGTTAGATCAAGTTATCATAAATCACTGGGGGAGTAGAACAACTCCCAGAACCAACTCCAGGTAAACCTGGTGACAGTGGGCTGAAGCAAGCATGCGGTGTAGGAATCATTGGTTGTCGACAGACTTTCAGGCCTTTCTTTTTCTTGACTGGATGGGAATTATCACCAGTAACTGCCAAGCACCTTACATGACCCTGCAGAAATGCTAGTCCTCATCGTGTTGGTGCCATATATATACACTATCATTTTGCCTTAATGCACTCAAAAGCCTTCTAAGCATGCCAAATAGATTTATGAGAGTGGCAGATTAAGTAGCTCAGAAATATTATAGATAAAACACTGGGTTAATTTAACTTTACAAACAACTTAAAGTTCTTTTCTTCCTTTCTATTGCAGAGCATTGCTGTAGAATTAAAAAAAAAAATGGCAAGTGTCAAATAATTTATGGACACCATGTATAGTACAGCACACTATATTATACATATTTACAATAATTAACTTGAGGAAAAATTAAACATACATATGAATAATTATATATCTGTTATTATCTTTCCTCAGGTGCCAACCTTTGCCTATGAGAAACGGCTCTCCCGCATTGAAACCTTAAAACTAGCCATCACCTACATTTCCTTTATGACAGAGCTATTGGCTTCGGAACACGAAGCTGCTGCTGTTGCCGCTGCTGCAGCAGCTGCCAATAATACTACCACCTCTGCATCAGCTAATACACGCGGAGCAGCACACAGAGGTCCTCCATCAGCCTCAGCTGTCCCTCCCAGGCACCACGACTACCCTGACTTAGCTCTTAGCAAGCGTTGTCCGTCTTACCCATCCCAGCTCCCTGCTGCATAATTCATATGGATTACCTTCATATTGTATAGTTTCATCTTTAAATCTTTGTACTATATGTCAGTGTAACTGTGGATATAAACAATTTCATATTTAATCTTAATTGTATGTGGCTTACATCGGTATCAAGTCTTCCAAATGTAGCTTAAGTTTTCATCCGTCTTCCTAATTAATAATACTGTACTAATTATTAATAATACTGATAATTAATACTGTATTGTTTAATTAAACCAGAAGTACACAACAATAATCAAGGGCACTGGGCAGTGTTAATACTGTATAGTTATTAACACTATACAAGTCATAATAATCATGAACACATTACTGTAGTTCTAATTAGAGCACTGCCATCACATTAAGGCTCTCATAACACTACTGAAGTACCGTACTTTTACATTAGGCTTTGAATACATCATTGGAATATGCTGTGTCTACAACCTGTTCTCTTTATAGCACGTTGCATTTTGACTTATACTTTACCCAAAGCCAAAAACTGATGTACTGTACTGTACGTACAAGAAAAATAGTAGCGCTTCGGAAATTGATATTGTCCCGTTTTCTGTTTGTGGGTCCTCTGGTTGGTTAGATTAGGGCACTTTAAGTACGACTGTTTCTTGATGTTACGAACACTCGCAAGAACGAACTGGTGTCTACAGCGAACACTTACTTATCCGCATTAATTGGGTCTGAAACTGTTTTATTCACATTTTCAGGTACAGTACTGTATTGTATATATATACTGTATATTAATTTTATGCTAATTGTGTATCCAAATAAAATTTAAATTACATAAGTGTTTATGATGCAAATTTACATATACTGTACTGGACATTATTTTTATTCCAAAATTAGAGGAAAAGTAAATTATTAATATAAAAAATACAACTTTGTTGGATCTTTTTATGCTCATTGTCAAAACAAAATTTGATTTACAAGGAGTTGCTCATTCATTTATCTAACCCATTTAATCGGGTGACAAGTTTGATTTATCAGATGTATATTGGATAATATAGCTTCAGATAAACAGGTGTTTATTGTGACGTCATAAGCCTGACCTAGTTCTACGTGATCCAAATGTCACACTGTTTTAAGTCTGATTTAGTTGACAAAGGGAAAATATTGTCTAAAAAATATAACTTCACTTAATGACAGTGTGATCATAATCAGACAGGAAAGGGAGACATGAATGGCCTTGCATTTTCCTTGACTGTCAAAAGGCCTATGACCCCAGACAAGACTCGTTGATAGTCCAGTACAGTACTATGATGGAAAAAAACAAGTGGTATAAGATGTATTGTACTATATTAGGTGCGACATAATCAGGCAAAAAGAACACAGAGTAATTGTGAGAAATACTGAATCAGAATGGCCTCCTTGAGAATGTGGATTCTCAAGTTACTGTTTTTTGATGATGCAAATCTGATAATAAAATACAGTATATATAAGTGTGGACTACAAAATGCGACATGACCTATATAAGCCATAAGAACTGCCAGACAAGTGGTTAATAGTATTTAGTCCATATGAATGAAAAGTTATAAACTTAAAGAAAGAATGAAGACCCAAAAGCACAATACAGGATGAGAGGGAAGTAATTAGATACCTAAGCAAAGAAAGACCAATGCTGAATGTATGAAACATTTGTCTGGGTGAGCCTCAGTTGCTTCCTGAAGCTATACACTGAGATGGTTCCCATCTACTAGATTGTATCAGCCATGGAGTTTTATAGGCCTACTGAGAAACAGATCCAGAACCTAGCCCACTCGCAGGGGACCAGGGAGCAATGACATTTCACCACCTCACCAGGTAAGGTAACCAGAGTCATTGAATCAAGCCACTGGTGGATTTACAAGAGACTGAAACCTTGAAACCTGCCTAATGAACTTCCCCAACTATTTAAACCATTTAATTCTCTTGAAACAAACACAAGCTCCAGTTGTCACACCTCCCCCACTCATTTGGGAGTAACAGCCCAAATGGAGATGGAGAAAGGAGCCCACAGAAATCTGAACCCTCCACAATGCATGCCAAACAGCATCAAATTCCTGAACCATATTGTAAGCCCAATGAAGGAGAGGAAGGCAACTACCCTGGCCGTCTGGGTGAGCAATGATCACAAGGTCCCAACCCAGAGCTGAGGTGTCTGTGAAGACATCAAATGAGGATGGAAGAAGGTGCCAAGGAACTGTACCCCGAAAAGCTCAAAGAGGATACCAGTGATGCAGCAGCCAGCAAAGAGCCAGTGGGGCCAGCACCCAACAATTGTGGTGGTGGAAGGGGCTGAACCAAACACATCAGAACAGCAAACTGAAACCACACCTTGTCCAGAGGATAAACTATGCTGGCAAAAGTCCTGCCCCAAAACAGCTGAGCAAGCAACCGTCAGCCGACTCATCACCAACAGACAGTGGCACTGCAGCTGGGACAAGGCCGCCAGAGGCAGGGAGAACAACACTGACCAAGAGTTCCAAACAAGGCCCAGCCAAATCTGAATCTGGGATGGAACCAACTGGAACTTCTGCTAGTTCATCAGGAGCCTGAACCTGACAAGCTAGGAAAGAACTAGATAACTGGCTAGCAGACACATGAACTGGATGGGAGCCTACACTAGCCAGTCATTGAGATAAGCCAAAACATGAACCCGCAACAAACGAAAATGGGATATGACCTGAGCCAAGCATGTGGACATGCATGGAACCAGATCGAGCCCAAACAGAAGAATCAGAAAGAGTTAAGCCTGGTACCCCACCACAAAACCTTCCCAATCCCTGAACCTTGAATGTATAGGAATGTGACAGTACACGTTCCAGAGATCCAGGAAAATCAACCAAGCATCTGCCTCCAGTATGAGACATACAGTACAAGGGACAAAGTGTTCATTTTGAATGGGGGGGGGGGTACAAGGAAGTTCAGCTGCAAAGGGTCAAGGATGAACAGGAGGGCAAGAGAGTCCTAATTTGGAACTGGGAAGAAGTGGGAAGTTCACCAAAGTGATGCAGACATTTCGACCACACTAGAAGCCACCCACTCTGAGATGACCCAATGCTGGTGAGGAGAGGAATCTATTCGACAAGACACGAACCCCCAGAAGGGGTAGAAACTGATCAATTCTACTGCAGGCTGTAAGAAATGACCTGCAAAGTGCACATATCGTGGGACCAGGAGCCTGCAAACCGGGCAAGCTATCCCCCCATCACTCCATCAAAGGGGCAAACCATGAAAGGGCCAGCATGAACTACGAAAGACCAGTTCCCTTCATGAAGAGCAAGCACAGCATCAACCAGATGGAAGACCAGCTAGGGAAAGTGTGTGCAACACGGAATCTGGTTTCACCAAAGGTCTACTCCGACCCACAGCAAGCAATGCTCCAGCTCCACCTGACCACCTCCAAGAACAAAAACAAGAATAAAGGAAGACCGAAACAGGCCTCCAAGCAGCAGCTACAGAGGAGAAAATGCCGACACAACCCCTCCTTCTCATAGGAAGAAAAAGTGAGGAGAGAGGGGAAGGTGGACAAGAGAGCCAGGGCCCCACACCAAAAGCAAAACTGGGCCAATCCACCTGCCAACACGCAAGGCAGGTGGCCAACAAAAGCACGTAGGCAGTGAGGTACACGAGACCCACATCCAGGAAGAGAGGAAAGCAGACAGCCCCAAAGGGCACAAAAGATATGCCACAAAAAGAGGTGTTCCATGCTTGGTCCACATTATGTTCATCAGTGAACATTTAAATTTAGATATGAAAATGCTTGACACATTTCTGCAAAATTTGCTCTTTTTAAATTCTTCACCCACCTTTACATTTTTTACTAACTCCTCACTATTAAAGAACTTAAAAATATATATCCATATTTTTACCTCCAGTGTCAACTTGCCTACCATTTGGATCAATGCACTTCCCAATAAATTACTGAACAGAGTTTGTATTAGAATCTCAAAAATATACAGTACCTGTACAGTATACAGTATCTCAAAACTCTTGTGGACTCCAGCTAAAATAGTCAAGATTTTATTTAATGTAATTTTCTAACTCATTTCAGTTAAGAGTTTAACAGAAAAATATTAAAGCTAATAATTCTGAAAGCAATAAATAGCATAACAAACTCACATCTTCCTCTAATAATCTTATGACAAAACAATGTTTTTAACTGGAATGTACTGTGTGTACCTGTTGGTCTGAGTCTCTGGTGCCATAGCAGGGGACAAGAAACCAATGGCTTGTAAAGGATTCCCTAATGGCCACAATCTTTAGAGGCTGTGGGTGGGAGGGAGTGATACTGTACAAAGATTTTTATTGACTAGTGAGAGAAAGAAGAAAAAGAGTATGAGGGCTGTGGTGGGGAGAGGGAGCCGGCTTGTGAAGAGTAGTACCCTAATGGCCACATTCTTTAGTGGCTGTGGCAGGGACAGGAAGCTGGTGGCTTGTGAAGGGCCACCTGATAGCTAGTCCCTAGTGGCTGTGGAAGGGACAGGAAGCCAATGGCTTGCAAATGATCCACACAGCCTTCTTAAAGAGTTTTCCCAGCGTGTATTGCAATAAACAGTACTGTAACACTGTACTAGTTCTGACGGTAAAGTTATATACAGCACCTGGCTATATACAATACCAAATACTATCTATGAAATATAAAATACTGTATACCGGTAACTATGTATAATTATATAAATTAAAACATTTACAAATACTGTATCTTGTAATACATTATAATTTTTTTTTTAATTTGTTATGAAATTTCAATATAAATTACTATAAAACCATGGTAATCATAAGTAATTTACATAAAATATCTTCCTGACAAAACATTCCATCTCTGCATTACTTCATGTAATATTTAGGGTGAGTGTAGGATTCAATACCGCAAATTCATTATGTAAAATTTTTAAACGTTGGAGCAGAAAATCAAATAAATGTACACTACCTGTATATATATTGTCTTTGTAAAATAAAATTTAATCCATGAATACAGTATGGTATTATATAAAATTCTTTAGACCAGTGTAAGTATATTTATAAT